ATAAGTCTAGAATGCAAGAATCTGCGACAAGCATGAGCGACTGGGTCGTACGGAGTTGCTTAAGTGCTCACTTGTTCCAGAAAAATCTGTCATCTGCCTACAATATTCATGAGTAACGCCGTGGGCTGACCGCAGCACACGTACAATCTCCCATAGCGGCCCGTCGCTGTCCTCCTGTAATGTCGACCACTGTGCTTGCAGTCTTCGCGTGATGTCCCATCCATAGCTGAAAAAGAAAAAACCGCCTGCCAGATGTGAGCGCACCAATGCTAGGAGATGCGCTTCCACGGCAGTTGGTGGATTCTGGACAGAAGCGGTCGGGTTCAGTGGCAGTATGTCATAGTCCGTGGCGCGGTAGATGTTCTGCCGCAGGATGCTCCCCCTCAGTTCTCGTCCTGTAATCACGATCACATAGTCCGCTGGAGTGTGCGCGGTCAGAATGAGAGCGCAGAAGAAGGCCGTGACACAAACACAAGGCCAAGGAAATGATGCCAAAGATGCCATATATTGTCTTGCCAGAGCGCTCAGCGGTCTTGGGTATCGGCGTATTCGGTGCTGCAGAATGCATCTTAATGAATGCGAGAGGATCAGATGAATAGAAGTGCTTACGGTTCAGCACGATGTTCCCCGAGTTGCGGTATATGGTCAAGGAGCGTGCGCCGATGGGCTCGGTAGGCACAAAAATGTAGGCATCGTCACCGTCGATGTACCTGCGCAGTGGTCAGCACCCCCTCGGTGAATAGGAAGAATAGCTCACAAGTTGAGTCGTTGGTGGAGGGACTTCATGGTAGAGCTGAGGCTGGTGCAGTGTCATGGGCGCGCGTGACGGATTCGCGTCCAGACACGCCGTAGCCTGCAGTGCTGCCTCTCGCGGTCACATTCAACACCGTCATGAAGCTCACTCCCGAGCTCATCCAGTCCGTTCCCTCCACACTAAATCCCGTCAAGGAGAGGCAGCTCGATCTCCGAGGTGCGTAGTGACCCACCAGTCAAGAGGCGCTTACAAAACGGCCCACAGGCTACAAAATACCTGCCATCGAAAATCTTGGTATAACCAAGGCAAGTCACGGTATTATGCCACGGAACGTGCCCCATACTGAACAGAACACATATAGGATCAACATGATGCTATAGATTTCACAGACAATGCCATCCTCGTGCTAGGAAACATACCCCTTCTCCGCCGCCTGCGTACGCTCCTGCTGGCCAACAACCGAATATCCTCCATCTCTGCATCCCTGCACCTCTCTGTGCCCAACCTCACCACGCTTGTGCTCACGAACAACAACGTCTCAGAGCTCGGCGACCTTGAACCCTTGAAGGACGTCAAGGGTCTCCGATATCTCTCTTTGTTGGGCAACCCCGTCCGCGAGAAGAAGTGGTACCGCGAATGGATCGCTTTCCGGATACCCCAACTGCGTGTGCTTGATTTCCAGAGGATCCGCGACAAGGTATGTTGTACCTACCTCCGATCATAACCGCCGCTCATGGTCTCGTGCTCTTGTTCGACTTGCGCAGGAGCGGCAAACGGCGAAATCGCTCTTCCTCACCCCCGATGGCCTGCTGACCCAGCTGGCGGCGAAATTGTCGACCACAGTCTCTGCACACTCGACAAAAGCACCCATTGCCACAGACGAGCCGCGGCCGGCGGCGGTCCCGGGCAAGGCTGGACGGCTGATGTCCAAGGAGGAAGCGGAGAAGGTGAAGGAGGCTATCGCGCGTGCGACGTCGATAGAGGAGATCAGGCGGTTGGAGCGGCGACTCAAGGAGGGTTTCTTGCCAGGTATGGAGAGTGTAGGTGCATGATGCTGTATCAAAATGTATTTCTGCTGGTAATGATCTCGCTTTTTTCTGTACATTGATCCGGGTGTAACTGAACGGAGCGAATAGCAAGGGACTCGTGCTAACGCGGTGAATACAACGATTGGTACATAGAGCACAGCATGAGCTACACAAGTCACAGATCACGGCCTAAAAATTCTTGATTCCTGTACCCATGTTGCCAATCCACAGTCCATGGAACAAAAGGGTGAGGAATGCCGTCATGTTGAATAAAGAGCTGACGCCGTGAAGCATGCCGAATCTGCTGTTCAATGCCTTCATCTGGTCCGAGACCTGCAGCAGCGCTCAGTGATCAACGCGATTCGGTTCCAGAATATCACTGCACAATGAACGCACCCCAGGCTCGTTATAGGCCTTGCCTTCCTCCTTCTCCTGGCGGTGGCGTTGGAACATGGTCCTGAGGTGTCGAATCAGTCGCAAGTTCTGCTGACGATCCGGACAACTCACTTGCTAGTGAGCGGCCCGATTACTGCCTGGTTGGCGAGCTGCGAGATGAGCACCGCTGCGAGAGCGTAAGCTTGGGCGACATCCGCGACCTGGGGTTCCAGGTAGTGCGTCAAGACAGCGGGGTGGCTGTAGGTCCAGAGACCAAGGAGGCCGGCGGAGAGGGCGATGCTGATGGTGAAGTAGATCGGGAAGGTGCGGTGTTGAAGTGCTCCGAACTGCTGGCGGGCTGTTCGGGATGCTCGTCAGCTGCGGATCTCTCAAGGCAATGCAGCAACATACGCAAGCTCTTGAAAGCGATAGTTCCTATCGAGGTAATTAGCATGAACTGTCACGGCGGCGAGCGCGAAATCAAAGACGCACCTCCGATGAAAGTGACCCACAGCGCTGCCACATGTATCTTGAGTATGACCTCGTCACAAGTATGAATTTCACTCACTCATCCCAAACAACCAAGAATATCCAATGAGATAGAGCCCCTGAGGATTAAACAATCCCAGGAGTGTCTGAAGAGACAACGTCGAGGGTTGCGACATAGCGGCCGTTGGTATATCGAAGTCCTAGCTAGTAATGGTACGGTGCACCTGCTGACCGGGTGGGGAATTCGGGAGGAATTATAGCAGCAGGAGCGTGGGGATGCGGGGACGATAGCGCGATCGAGACGCGCTTCTAGACGCGTTCTACACGTGAATCGGTCCTCGGCCGGCATCAGCACTTGGCGGGAGAGCTGGTCATCTCCATCTCCATCGTGTCCACTGCAGTCCGGATGGACAGATCACTTCCGCGTAATATTACCATGACACCATCATCATGACACAGGTATCTTCCGAGATGCTGCAGCAGTGCTCTGGTGTTCCGATCCTCAAGAAGCGACTGTGAATTGGTGGTAAGAACATACACAGGAGATTGCTGGTACAGCGAAACAACACAGGTCATGGCATGATGAAACGTCCATGAGATCAGCGGAAGCGGTCCCAGTCCGCTTGGCTCTTCATGCCCCCGAAGCCTCCCATACCGCCGAAGCCTCCAAAGCCTCCCATCCCTCCCATCCCGCGCCGTCGAGGTCCACCTACGGGGCGCTCCTCCTTGGCCGTGGTCATTACAACATGCTTGTCAACAAGCTATTTGAATGCCTGTCAGCCGTGCGTATATCAGCAGGGGATCAGGGGGCGCACCTCGTTCAGGATGTGCGTAGACTTCGTGAGAGTAGCGAGGTAGGCGGTCAATTGGACATCCTCGTATTCCTGTTGCAGTCAAACATCAGCAAGCGGTACGATTAATATACTGATCCACTATACAGTCTCGAACTCCTCCCGGAACTCTTTGTTCTCGCTTGCGGGGAGGGACGCGATGAGAGCAGATAGCGACCGGAGTGTTGCATGATCTTTGGGTGCTTGGCCTACGCTTACAAGTTGTACGCGTTGCTTTCTATAGGAGTGACGGTCTTGACTCTCACCTGCGATGACATCCGTCACATACTTCACGAGCACCAGAATCCGATCGTGCAGCATTTTAATTGCCGCGCGCTGCGACTGCAGGTGTGATTGCACTTCAAGCGAATCAGGACCGGTCAGTACGATCAGGATTAGCACTCACAACTAGTGCCACCCTCGCCACCTTTCGCCGTCCAGTCGACCGCAATGCGCTCGGCCTCACCGGTCTCGACGGTGAATGGCGCCTCTATGAATACAGATCGCGATTTGCGCTCTCTGATCTCTATTGTGGGCTCGTATGCTTTCAGAGGAAGAGACTGTGCGGTTGTGTCAGATGAGGATGCAAAAATTGTGGAGGGCTGTAGGATGAGGAGCAGTGGCGTTGAGCTGTATGCGGTGAACTTGTCGCACGATCAGCGGGCAGCGATAGGAAGCGTTGCGGACCGCTTACTTGCTCATGGAGTGCAATGTGGAAAGATGTGGGCTTGGCTGCAACCGTATACCAGCCGATGAATTCCAGTGAGGGGAATACGAGCTTGTCTTTGTGCTGTGGCGTAAGTACCTCAGCGAGCATGCCGATGGCACAGCACGCACATTGCTCTTTCCTAGCAACTAGGAACCCCTGATCGACTGTTACACCATCGTTCTCTACCGCGAGCTCGAAGGAGTTCACAATCTCAACTTGTCGTCCGTTCTGCGTGCCAAGCAATGCCCCGAGAACTACATCCCATGGACACTCCCATGAGATTACATGCGAGAGATCAACAGAAAATACAGACCAAATGGAGAGCTCGAGTTAGTCTGTAGCTTGAGGCGTGTGAGATGCTCCGAGATGTTAAGAATAGGGAGTGGATGACTGCCAAGTTCGGTAAGCCCTTGAGCACTCTGGAGCACGGCTGATTGAAACGCACAGCGACAGCGACAGTCCAGAGGTAGTACTGGAAGGCAGAACGACGGGCAGTTCGTCCGTGTCCATAGCACTCATGGCAGAGGCACACTAGGTACGGGTGAAGGCAGTAATAGGAGCTGTGGCTGCGCGCCAGGACACGCGTGTGCCGCGGCGGGATCGCTTCCTTTGCCGCCCGCCGTGCAAGTCGCGCCAGCTGCATCCATATATATGCTCACAGTTTATGTACAAAGCGGACAGCTGGGATCAGCTCACCATACTATATGCTATACCACAGAGCTGCGATATGAGAACGACCGATACGCACATACCGTGGTAGAGGTTAAGGCGGATGTGACAAAATCGTTAAAAGCCAGTGCCAGAAAGCATTATAATTCCCATTAGCCGACTCGAACGACTGACCTCGTCATAGCAGATACTAGTGACGCGCTCTACCAACTGAGCTAAACGGGATTGGTAACTCCGAGTGGCGTATACTATATCAATGGTTGAAGATAGTGGAAACGCGAAAGAGCTTGCCCTAAAGGACTAATTGCGCGGTCGCGTCTGCAGCCACTGGGAGCCCTATCTGCTTCCACACATCAACTCCACATCTGACGCGGTCAACATGTCTGGTTTCGAGGCGGATCGCGTGTACTCAGTGTCTGTGCACGATGTGCCCAGTGTATCTTCTCCAGAGACTCCCTCTCAAGCCGAAAAGCTCCTCCTTGATTTCCTGCTCCAGTATCGCGTCGGTGGCGAATTCATCTACAGGTACGCGTCAAGTCCCTCCAATTCGCTTTTATGGACTCTGACATACCTCTAGAGATAAGCTACGCGCAAACCTCCTGCTCAAGCAGCATCAGCTGGAAGTCGACCTCCGACATCTCGGTCTATACAACGACGAGTTGGCCCATGCCGTGCAGGACAGACCAGCAGAGATCTTGCCCCTGGTTCGTTCCTTTTTATCATGTCTGCTACCATTTCTGACATGTCTGCAGTTCGAGATGGCCACCACCAAAGCCGCCCGCACCATACTCTTCCCCCTCGCCAGTGGCTCCGAGAGCACGTCCGAGACCGCCGCACAATCGATCCCCAATATCCAGATCCTCATCAAGTCCGGGCTCAATTTGCAGCAATTCCGGGACCTCTCCGCGAACACCGTCAGCCGGCTCGTGCGCATCCCCGGTATCGTCATCTCTGCATCCGTCCTCTCCTCGCGCGCGACGAAGCTCCATTTGCAATGCCGCGCGTGTCGCTCGACCAAGATCATATACCCTCCGGGCGGCCTGGGTGGTATCGGCGGCGGGAGCGACCGCGGGCTGCCCCGCGTGTGCGATGCGTCGGCGCCGGAGAACCAAAAGAAAGATTGCCCGATGGACCCGTACCTAATTATCCACTCGAAGTCGACATTCTCAGACCACCAGGTGATGAAACTCCAAGAGGCGCCGGATATGGTCCCCGTCGGAGAGCTCCCGCGTCATATACTGCTGTCTGCAGACCGATACCTCACCGGCCAGGTCGTTCCCGGCTCTCGCGTCATCGCTACGGGCATCTTCTCCACATACCAGGCTGCGAAGAACGTACGTCCTTCTCACTTTTGGGGCGACGGTTGCTGAGGTTGGGGTAGAAACAATCTGGCGGGTCTGCATTGCGTAATTCGTACCTGCGTGTCGTACATTTGGAGGTGTCATCGCCGTCGGGGAGCGGGTCTGGTGGATCGAATCCCTTCGGCATGCAGTTCACCCCCGAGGAGGAGGAGGAGTTCGGCGAAATGGCACGCAGCGAGGGCTTCTATGAGCGGTTTGCGCAGAGCGTTGCTCCGAGTATCTTCGGTAGCGAAGGTCAGCATCGTCTATTGTGATGTTCCTAGTCTTCACAGAAACTCACGATCCATTGCAGACATCAAGAAGGCCATCACATGTCTTCTTTTCGGCGGCTCGAAGAAGGTGCTACCGGATGGCATGCGACTAAGAGGTGATATCAATGTTCTTCTACTCGGTGACCCTGGTACAGCCAAAAGTCAGCTTCTCAAGTTTGTCGAGAAGGTTCGTGTCGACGACAAGTGCCCCTTGAGTCGAGTTGATCAGCCACACAGGTCGCACCAATCGCCGTCTACACCTCGGGAAAAGGTTCCAGTGCAGCAGGTCTCACCGCATCTGTGCAGCGAGACGCAGTGTCGGTGTGTTTGATTCTTCGCCTTGCGCACGGACACTGCCTTATATGATGCTTCTAGCGCGAATTCTACCTGGAGGGAGGCGCGATGGTGTTGGCTGATACTGGCGTCGTCTGCATCGACGAGTTCGACAAGATGCGGGACGAGGACCGGGTCGCAATCCACGAGGCAATGGAGCAGCAGACCATCTCCATCGCGAAGGCGGGCATCACCACCGTCCTCAACTCGCGGACGAGCGTGCTCGCTGCGGCGAATCCAGTCTGGGGTCGATATGACGAGGGCAAGAGCCCGGGAGAGGTGAGACACTCTTGTAATCGCATTATCAGTCGCTCATTCCGAGTCGTAGAATATTGACTTCCAAACGACGATCTTGTCGCGATTCGACATGATCTTCATTGTGAAGGACGAGCATAACGAGCAGCGCGATCGAGTACGCATTCCGACATGGCGAATCAATATTGTCCTATGACTGACCGCCACTTTAGACGATTGCAAAGCACGTTATGAACATCCATATGAACCGGCCGAACCAGGATGGCGACGGTGAAGCCATCGCCGAGATTGACCTAGCCAAGATGAAGCGCTTCATCGCGTACTGCAAAGCGTATGTTCAGCCTCGTGGTGGTCGTACATGCAGCTGACGCAGTCTGCTGTAGTAAATGCGCCCCACGGTTATCGGCGGAGGCACAGGAGCTGCTGAGCAGCCACTTTGTATCACTGCGACAAAGAGTCAAGCAGGTCGAGCAGGACAACGACGAGCGCAGCTCCATTCCCATCACCATCCGGTGCGTCCCGCCTCTCTTTCGCGCTCTTCACATCAGCTAACCAACAGCACCCCGCAGTCAACTTGAAGCCATCATCCGCATCTCGGAGGCACTCGCGAAGCTGACGCTCTCGCCGGTCGTGCAGAACCACCACGTCGACGAGGCGATCCGTCTGTTCACGCGCTCGACGATGGACGCGGTCGATGCAGGCTCTGCGGACGGCAAGTCGCGCGGCGCGCTAAACGAGGAGATGGAGCGCATCGAGAAGGAGATCCGCCGGCGGCTTCCAATCGGCTGGAGCACGAGCTACCAAAGCCTCGTGCGCGAGTTCGTCCAGCAGCAGGACTACTCGGCACACGCGCTCGAGCGCACGCTGTTCGTGTTGGAGAAGAGGGAGGTCATACGGTTTTCGGGACAGGTGCGTCGTGCGCGATTCCTTCGTGAATGTACTGATGTGATTGGTCTGGTGTGTAGAACAAGGTTGTGCATAGGTGTGTGGTGTGCGTGCTCTGTTGGTGTTCGAGGATACTGACGTGCCATCTCAGGGTCGGTGTATGAGGATTTGCTCTCGGGTTCTTGCTTTCCACTGTCGTTGTATATGTGTCCATATTGTATCAGTACCCAGCATCTTTCCTCCAGCCAAACTATCATCTTCGAGTCGCACGGGGAAACATATCAATCAAGCGAAAGACACCGTATGATAAGGAGTCGATTTTCCACCCATGCAAATTTGCAAGTTTGACAAAGATTCTGGGGTCGTTGTAACTCTGTCGGGGAATCTGGAATTCGGAAGCCAAGCGCATTTGTGAGCATAGGTCCTGGCTCGCTTAGTCGGCGTACTAATCCAGCCTTACGTGGATGTATTCTGACGGCTTCCTCGACTGAAAATTAGGGGACGTCAGTGTTACCATGTGTGGTCCATTGATCGCGTCGATCGTGGCATGTGAGCAGACCAAGCAGAGAGTTGATCCGGATCCCGGAAGCCTCCAGGAGGTTGTCCGGTCTAGTGCGGGTCTCGATCAAGCAAGTTTGCCTCCGACGAGCATCGCGGTAGGCGGGGAGCCGGGCCGGAGCCACAGCGGGATTGTGGCTACCACTTGATGGGTTAAAGACGCCGTGAACCATGTATCTGGCGCGACGGACACGCCACTGCTATCTCAGTCCGCAGATAGCCCTCCCACCTCGGCCGAGGGCCATGACGTCTGGCTCGCTCTGATGCTCATCCACTGACCGCCCGTCTGCGTCGGGGCAGAAACTATTCGCGCTCCTATGCGGAGAGTCGAGCCTACCTCCCGGTCATAGACTCTTCGGTCATGGGCTCTATTTCGTGAATGCCAGATTCTATATATTTCGGTAGCCGAGCCAGCCATGCTCCGCGCTCTGGTCCATCTCACGTTCCGCCCATCGTACTGTTTCTGGCCTTTGCAGGCCTGCGTTTCGCCACATCCCCTGGGCCAACTACGAGATGGACGATTCTGAGTGGCTCAACGTTATCCAAATCGCATCTGACGCCCTTGAGTGCCCGTCTGCGTTCAGGGACAAGCCTTTCCCAGAATGCAGCACCGTACACGCGTTGGCACAGCTTCCGACACCACCGGTAGGTCACATATGCCACTCTTTCTGCCCAAGAAAGCTTATTACACGACTCTCGTGTTCGATACAGCCTTCAGACGAAGGGTCTCCCATAGATGAGGCGGGAAACGACCTTACCGTCGCCGTGTCAACTGCCTTCCATCCCGACGCCAACCTCAGCAAAACCTCCCCTGACCTTGTATTACTTTCCTCAGATGGCGTCTTCTTTTATGTCGATGCCCACACACTCGCCGCTGCGTCCTCAAATCAGTTCGATTCACTCCTTCCCGCGTCGACGACCCATGTCCACAACGATCATGGTCCTGTCATTCCTATCCCCGAGTCCGCTGACGTGATCAACGTCGTCCTACACACCGTCTACAACATGTCGTGCGGCCACTATACGCCTACCATCGACACCCTCATCTCATCCGTGCACGCGCTGCACAAATATGGCATGCATCTGAAGAGCTGCTTGGCTCCGTCCTCCTCGCTCTTCGCGCTCATCCTCGCGCAGGCGCCGCTCGCCCCCATCCAGTTCTACGCGCTCGCGGGTGCATACGACCTCCACGAGCTTGCGGTGCCCATCTCCTCGCATCTCCTCGCATATTCTCTTTCAACGCTGACGGACGAACTGGCCACGTGCATGGGCCCCATCTACCTCAAGCGCCTCTTCTTCCTCCATCTTGGCAGGATGGACGCACTCAGGCGCCTGCTGCTCCCGCCGCCGCACCCGCACCCGCCCTCTGCAGAATGTGACTTCGCCGAGCAGAAGAGGCTCACGCGCGCATGGGCTCTTGCTTCGGCGTATCTTGCTTGGGATGCCCGGCCAGGTGAGCTTCCAGCTATTCGAAGCACAGATCGAAATGCGCCGTCTGTGCTCACGCCCACCGCACTCCTGTCAGATTTGTCAACCAGTGTCATCGAGTCCGCCCTCTGCTCGCTCAGCGACTGCTTGAATT